ACTGGAGTTCCCAGCGGGGAATTCTACCCGGCTGACCTGATATCCTTTCAAATAGAACAGATCTAGCTCACGTGAGGGTTGCTCTTTTCACAAATAACCGTGATCACTGTCATATGGCTGCTACCACCCTGCGGGTAAACAATTCCGGTCACGTGGAACTAGCTTAGGGGGTTGGGGGTTAAAGCAGGGGTGGTGTGAGGGTCGTGGAAAAGAGCCGGTGGATCATCTGATGCATATGTCCAAAATACATCGGTTTGATCGTGTGTTTTTCAGCGTTTATAAATCATTTGGGCTCATTTGTTGTTAATATATCCGTAGTATACAGTTTCTCTAACCAAAACTCTTAGTGTTTCACATTATATTTATCATTCAAAGTAATTTGTTATTTGTTCAGTTTGTACACGGAAATAACCAGTGTCGTGAGAGGGAAAAGTACAGCTGACAATCTTTAGATAGTAGAGAATGTCATTCAATTGTAACTGGTCACGTCATAATTGTCTCCAAAACACTGTATTGTTGTTTATATCGCTTGATCGTCCAATAGCACTATATTCTGTGGTAGCGGTTTTGGGTGCTAAATAGTTAAATCGTCTTAAATGATACATCGAGATACTATATTTCTATTAAGATTTCATATCAGGCATTACTTGCTAACTGTGGAAGCACATGCAAGGAAAAGATTTCTCAGCATGAGATTAAATGGATTCTGAACTCAAAACCAGCGAGTCACTAACATCTTTTAAGACTGGCCTCAAAACATTCCTTTTCAAGTGTCATTTTCCATCTTAAGCGCACAGAGCATTTATTAGTGAATGATGCGCTATATAAATGCAATTATTATTATGATTCTGTCAAATCATCACCAAACTATCATTTATATAATCTAGATTATTATTGTTTATTTAATTTTAAATCAATGCCAAAGAGAATTTTATCCATCAGAGATCATAGAAACAAATCGGAAAAGCGATGAATAACAAACAAAAATCAAACAAAATAAACGAAACATTTATATGTTAGATATGCCACAATGAACAGAACCTAGTAATCTGTAGTTTGTTTTCTGTGGCATATTTTTATTTTTGAATAGTTTTCTTTGGCAATAAGAAACTTTATTCTTTTGGGGTATATGGACTGGATTTCTTTTTACCGCAGATTGTGTTATGCTGAACCAGGTATGGTGTACATGTAGGAGGACGGTTGTACATTTATCATTAATAAGGTCATAATTAGTTTCGCGTGTGGAGTTACTGCATATCTATTTTGGGACCAAGGTATAATCAGTGTGGCTTCGCAGTATATTCCTTGTGGCAATATGTTACATTCATTATCACCTTGTGGTCTATTCACTGTCACGTTATGGTATATTCACTATGATATACTCACTGTGTCGTTTTGGTATATTCACTATTATTACTCGCCCGTGAAAGATACTGCAGTGTAATATTTTTACTGCAATATTACGCTAGTGTAATACCGCAAGACGTATGACGTCATAATGACTGACTGACTGACTGAGTTTGGTTTTACGTCGCTTTTAGCAATATTCCAGCAGCATCACGGCGGGGTACACCAGACATGGGCTTCACACATAGTACCCATGTGGGGATTCGAACCCGGGTCTTCGGTGTGACGAGCCAACGCTTTAACCATTAGGCTACCCCACCGCCCCTCATAGCGATTTACAGATATGACGTCACAATGCTAATACCTCTGTCACAATGTATAAGACCTTGCTCAACTCGCAGAAAGCTGAGAGTCATCACACCGTAGGCAGTTACTATCAAATTTTGTTGGAGAGTAATAAACAGCATACTAAACTCGCTTCCATGAAATACCATTTTATTAAACTCGTGAAAGAAATCATTAACTCGTTTAATAAAAATGGTATTCCACGGAAGGTCATTTAGTATCCTCTACTGGTATACTCACTGTGACGGTATGGTATATTCACAATGGTAAACTCACTGTGTCGTTATGGTATATTCACTATGGTATACTCACTATGACGTTATGGTATATTCACTGTGGTATACTCACTGTTACGCTATGGCATATTCACTATGGTCGTAGTCACTGTGACGTCATGGTGTATTCACTATGGTATATTCACTGTGTCGTTATGGTGCATTCACTGTGACGTTATGGTATATTCACTGTGGTACATTCACTGTGACATTATGGTATATTGACTATGGTATAGTCACTGTGACGTCATGGCGTATTCGCTACAAGATGGTATACTCACGGTGACGTTATAATATATTCACTATGGCATACTCACTGTGACGTTATGGTATATTCACTAGGGCATGTTCACTGTGACGTTATGGTATATTCACTATGGTATATTCACTGTGACGTTATGGTATATTCACTATGGTATACTCACTGTGACGTTATGGTATATTCACTAGGGTATGTTCACTGTGCCGTTATGGTATATTCACTATGGTATACTCATTGTGACGTTATGGTATATTCACTATAGGTATATTCACTGTGACGTTATGGTATATTCACTATGGTATATTCACTGTGACGTTATGGTATATTCACTATGGTATACTCACTGTGACGTTATGGTATATTCACTATGATATATTCTCTTTGACGTTATGGTATATTCACTATGGTATATTCACTGTGACGTTATGGTATATTCACTATGGTATACTCATTGTGATGTTATGGTATATTCACTATGGTATAGTCACAGTGACGTCTTGGTGTATTGTCGTCATATGAGCGAAATATTCTCAAGTACGACGTTAAACCCAATTTCACCTCACCTCACCTCTTGGTGTATTCGCTTCAAGGTGGTATACTCACTGTGACGTTATCATATATTTACTATGGTATATTCACTGTGACGTTATAGTATGTTCACTTTGGTATACTGATTGTGACGTTATGGTATATTCACTATGGTATACTCACTATGACGTTATGGTATATTCACTATGGTATATTCACTGTGACGTTATGGTATACTCACTGTGACGTTATGGTATATTCACTATGGTATACTCATTGTGACGTTATGGTGTACTGACTATGAGGAAATGATATTTTATATCATAAAATGGATCATAAAGATGAATCTGTATGTAAGTTTACCAAAATGAACATTCGCTCTTCAAAGTATATTCAGCACAAAATTATGAAACACTGGCAATTTTGTCCAAGTATGGCTGTTAGAGCAGCGTCCCTAAGCCCGACAGGCCTCATTATGTTTCCATGTTGTCAGCCCCTCTGACCGTGGGAGACATCAAAGTGGTAAACGCCTAAGATCTGCGTCACCGAGGGGATTCATCCACATCACCTGAACATAATGTTACTCATGTTTTGCTTGTGTTTGTGTCGAGAAGGGTGTTTTAAATGACAGTTTTCCTCCAACGAGAGTAGCTGTGTATATTGACACTGGAAGCAGTGTAGGCGTGTGGAATGTGTCATAACATCGATAAACAGGCTTGGGAAGCAAACTGCGATAGACTTTCGCTCATTGCCCAAGGCCTAATGTGTGTCGCCCACTGAAGATGATGTTAAACAGTTAGGAGAATTAACAGTACATGGTTAAAGCGTATGCGTTGCATATTTGAAGTATGATAGTAGTTGAAGTTTCACACTCGAACCCGGGGACTCGAACCCGGGACTTTGACTTTAACCACTAGGCTACCCACAGTCCCTGTTGATGCTAGAGGTAAGACGCAAGTGATGCTAGGATTTCTTAGAGATAATAGATGTCGGCACGCGTAAGGGGCGCACAGGTGAAGTTTGCCACGAATCAGCCAACCCTGTCCCTTGGGCAGCGGGGTAGCCAAGTGGTTAAAGCGTCCGCTCGTCACGCCGAGGACCCGGATTCCCCACATGGGTACAATGTGTGAAGCCCATTTCTGGTGTCCCCTGCCGTGATATTGCGGGAATATTGCTAAAGACGGCGTTGAACCAAACTCACTCACTCGCTACTTAGTCACTCCCCCCAAAAAAGCGCCCCTAAAATCGCATGATTTATTCCTCTCAAGGTCATCTCTCTTGCGAGTTCATGGTGGTGGTGGTGATATTTTAGGGCGACTTGGACCAACTGCGAGTACATACGTTAAGTGGATTGGTCCCCCTTTAATGTCAGGTGGATTTATAATATACGTTATCAGTTTAAGCGTGGTAAACAAATACAGCATCGGCGTATATAATGGAAAGATAAATTATTTATGTCCTGATCATATGTCTTTTTCTACAAGCCTAAAATGTATGTCTCGATGAAGCGCTCCCTCTCGGAGACTAACGGGGTCGGGTGGTCAGGCTCGCTGACTTGGTTGACACATGTCATCATATCCCAGGACACACAAAGGAGTATTTCCACATATTATCATGCCCAAAACAGTTTAAAACCATAGGCACGCACCATTATGGAAAAGGCGACAATTCGCTATTATCAGTATAACAGTGTCATTTGTTTTGAGGCCTGTTTCACACGCTACATAGTTTCAACTTGAAAAGGGTCGCATTGTCGCCCTTTTTTCAATTATCATTATTATTCAAAGCTCAGTAATAAAGCAGCGCGACATTATGACAAATGGTCAAATCTGTTGTTTAGAGTATCCAATTTTCAGTATGAATGGTGGTTGTATGAGCGGCTGAAAAATCTAAGGTTTTCTTAACTGAAAAATCTAAGCAAGTGACTGATATTTACATACCTTTCCCCAAAGCATATGGCTACCTAAAAGCTGAAAAAATGAAGGGAGAATATAGGTTAAACGCACTTTCGCAATGTCTTATTAGTCAGAGCCGAGGTGACAAACACGGAACAATAGGGACAGTCTAGGCTTGAACTACTTCTTGTCTGTGTCGAGCATATACGTACATGTATTAGATTCACATTCACGAGTGAGTGTTTTCCAAGTTGTGACATGTGTGTTCATATCACGTGATCTTTGCCAGACCTATTTCACGGTGCTGTATGTATAAAGGGTACAGTGAATTGAATGTGTGTCATTTCTTACACTGGCACAGCCATGAGCGGGTGAGTGAAGCTTTTTCCTCTTTAATTTTACCGTTATATCAAACGGTGTGTGGCCAGCTATGCAGTTATGTTGCACATATACCCTGTCTGTCTATCTGTATTACATTATTAAAGATAATCACCTCATTCGCTACAGTATTTGTGCTCAACATAACTACGTGCCAAATATATAAACCATATGAATGAATATATAAATAAACATATTTTCAAAACGACATATTATCAACGAGATACGCACATTACCTCGGAGTCGGCAAACTCAAACCCAACATCTTTAGCTGTTGGAGTGCCTCAAGGTTCAATATTGAGTCCACTCCTTTTTAACAAGTACATCTGCCAGTTGTGGATATTGTGAGCCTTGGTCCTCACATCCACCGGTACAGAAGACCATTTTTCAAGAGATAGATTCTAAATGAAGAATTCCACTTAGTCAAGTTTTGTAATGATCTTCAAAAAGCAATTTATACAAGTATGAAAGGATAGGTGTTTTTCCTGATAACATTTCAGTCCAGTATGTTACCATACGCGTGTACCCTTGTATATGCGGAGCTGTTCTGTCAAACTTAACCGTATGTTATGTAGACAGGTCGTACATATCCATTGAACAGTGGAGTCCAAAATTGAAGCCTGCAAAGCTTATATGAGGGTATGGATGACCCTTAATTACCTCAAAACAAAATCTCATACTCTAGGATAGAATATCAGCTACAAAAGGTCTCATCATCACTCACTGACAGAATCGATGACTGTGACATTGCATGATCTGCCTGTGCCAGAAATGTACATCACCTGTCTGTGCAGGAAATGTGCCATCACCTGCCTGTACCAGTAATGTGCCATCCCCTGCCTGTATCAGAAATGTGCCATCGGCTGCCTGTACCAGAAATGTGCCATCACCTGCCTGTGTCCGAAATGTGCCATCACCTGTCTGTACAGAAATGTGCCATCACCTGTCTGTGCAGGAAATATGCCATCACCTGCCTGTACCAGTAATGTGCCATCACCTGCCTGTACCAGAAATGTGCCATCACCTGCCTGTGCCAGAAATGTGCCATCACCTGTCTGTGCAGGAAATGTGCCATCACCTGCCTGTACCAGTAATGTGCCATCACCTGCCTGTACCAGAAATGTGCCATCCCCTGCCTGTATCAGAAATGTGCCATCGGCTGCCTGTGCCAGAAATGTGCCATCACCTGCCTGTGTCCGAAATGTGTCATCACCTGCCTGTACCAGAAATGTGCCATCACCTGCCTGTGTCAGAAATGTGCCATCACCTGCCTGTACAGAAATGTGCCATCACCTGCCTGTACCAGAAATGTGCCATTACCTGCCTGTGCCAGAAATGTGCCATCCCCTGCCTGTGCCAAAAATGTGTCATCACCTGCCTGTGCCAGAAATCTAGGAGTTATGCGGCAGAGTAAAATGTCAATGAAGCAACACGTACATCAACTCCAAAGAGTGAAACCATTGCAAAGCATGCCAAATATGCGGACCTCGCCTTTGAAATGTTTCGCTTACATCCCAAGTACACTGTCGTCAGGCTCCTCATTGTTCTCGGTGCCCTTGGTTTGGTACCTCCTGATCACTAAGTGCAGATCAGGAGAGTGCCCGAGTTCTCCACCGGGAGCACAGCCCTTCTGACACTCTGGGTAATGCAGAAGGCTGCAGTGTTTGGGAGTCTACATATTCTCCAGAGAGTTATTGATAGGTTCGACTAGGCAGCGTTTCCTGGGAGAACTCCCATTCGCTGTCTGGACTGCAAGGGCCCTGAGCTGATGATGAGCCTTACCAGCCTGACTGTGCCAGGTTCACCCGATCCCTCTGTTCTGCATACACTTATTAATCTGTAAAAACATAATAATGGACGTATGTAATGCACTGAACCTACCTACCCACGTGTTCCCACCGCAACGTTAAAGAATGTAAGTAAATAGAATAGTGGACGCTTCAAAGATGAGTTTTAACAAAACTATTAAAAGAACACGAAAATGATGATTTTTCTAATGGGAAAAGGGACAAACAGCACAAGTTCTGAAATTGAATGAGTATGCACAGATACATGTTAAGCCATTATGTATATACCGTCAGCACTACGTCAACTTAAACAGTTGCGTAGATTGATGCTTATGCTGTTGATCACTGGGCTGTCTGGATCGAACTCGGTTAGTTACAGACCGCCACCATAGAGCTGGCATATTGCTGCGTGCGGCGAAAAACCATCAACCAACCGAAACAAATCGCATTTTAATCATTAAGCAATCTGTGCTGGCCATAACAGGCGACTTAATGATTAACGAGGTCAGAATCGATTTGTTCATTATATCACCTACCAGTTTACCTGATCATTTACAAGACGCAAACTAGTAGTCAGTTTAATGGCAGGTGCGACGTTAAACAGCAATCCCCAAACTAAATAAACAAAAAAAACCCCAAACAACAACTTTAACTGAAGGAATGCTTAATTCTAATACGACCCACACATGAACTGCTTGTTCTACCCTGTATGTCAAGTGTTTGAATATCCTATATTAGTAACGAAGTGAGTAAAGACACCATGAACCTTTAGCAAACATCATTTGAGTTCATCAAGGTCTGTCTGTGACTCCGTATATAGTTATGAACAAGCATACTAAAGCCAATGGTTTGGCACTTTGTTTGAACTGACATTACCAGTACAACCCTGACCTGGTTTAATGTTTGCAATCGCTCGATTTACAAAGAGACATTAGAGTGCGTCTTAGTTGGGCTGTACTGAGTTTTGAAAGCCTTCTGTTACCCTTCAAGTGAAAGCGTCACAGACAAATGAAAGGGGTGCGCCGTGGCGATGTTTCAAGGCGTATGTATTTCGCCATGCTCTGTACATATTTCGCAACGGTTTTTTTTAACATGTGTAGCAAGTCGTGTTTGACCAGGCAACGCAGTAATATGATATTCATCTGTTGTCCTTTTAGTTAACCGAGAGTGACACCACGCGCACGCCCACACAACCTCACACAACAGTTATCCCCTGGCTCCAGAGCGTTTGAAGGTGAATATGGAATGGATGTCTGACTACCAACGAAATTTGCTGGGTCCTACAGGACGGGTGGTAAACGTTGAAAAACTCGTGCCTAACTTGATGAATAAAACCAAGTACATCATTCACTATCGCAATTTACAACTATATCTGTCGCTGAGTATGAAGCTGACTAAAATACATAGGGTACTAAAATTCAATCAAAGCAAGTGGATGGAACCATACATCAGAATGAACACGGATTTACGTAAAATAGCCACCAGCGACTTCGAGAAAAACCTGTACAAACTCATGAACAACTCTGTATTTGGTAAAACGATGGAAATTGATATCCAGCCCCGCATACAATAGAAGTATTATATTCGATGATGACTTGGCAGCGATACATATGAAAAAGAGCCACATTATACTTAATCGACCGGTTTATGTTGGTATGAGCATTCTAGACCTATCCAAACATCTCATGTATGACTTCTACTATAACGAGCTCAAGAAACAATACGGTGAAGGGTGCGAGGTGTTGTACACGGATACGGATTCATTACTCATGGAAATTCAAACCGAGGACGTGTACGAGGATATGAAAAACAATATACACCTATACGATACCAGCGATTTCTCAAAAGACCACCCCATGAATAGCCAAGTCAACAAAAAGGTGTTAGGTAAGATGAAGGCACACCAATCACCGAATGCGTCGGATTGAGACCTAAGATGTATTCTATCAAAAAAGAAGACGACGCTGAAATAAGAAAGGCTAAAGGTGTGAAAAAGAACGTGGTGAAACGACATATTAAACATACCCTCTACAAACAGACCCTGTTCGAGATGAAAACTGTTCAAACACCAGATGAACATACTTCGTAGTGACGGGCACAAGATATACGGGATGACTATAAATAAGACGTCTCTATCACCAATGGATACAAAACGATGGATAGCTTCAGATGGTGTCAAAACCTTTGTTTACGGTCATAAAAAAAATGTAAATTTATATATATAATGGAGAAAATTTACTACAGCCCGCGAGGATATTGGAAAGGGGTAGTTGCTATTACAAAATTATCTAAAACCGCACGTGTTTCGGAAGAAAAAGCCAAAGCCTGGTTACAAAAACAAGCTATATGGCAAATATACTTACCAGCACCAAAATATATACCGAGGAGAAAATTCGGTATACATACACCTAATCAAGTTCACCAGGCCGACCTGTTGTTTCTTCCACACGACAGGGTGAGAGGTAAAACCTATAAGTACGCCCTGACAGTTGTAGACGTAGCCAGCCGCTACAAGGAAGCTGAACCATTAACCACGAAAGACTCGGTTCAAGTAGCACAAACGTTTAAGCGAATATACAAGCGTAGTCGGCTTACATGGCCTTATTTATTGCAAGTCGATCCAGGCAGGGAATTCATGGGATCCGTGTCGAAACTGCTAACCAAGCATAACGTAGAAGTTAGACGCGGTGAGGTGGGAGCCCATCGAAGTCAAGCTACAGTAGAGAGATTCAATCGCTCCATAGCCGAACGTTTGTTTTCACACCAATATTCACTTGATTTAGCGGATCCTAATAACAGAAACACTGAATGGGTAGAACAACTTCCACGGGTGGTTGACTTCATGAATCATGAAATAACAAGACTACTTGATAAGAGACCAGTCGAAGCAATCCGTATGAAATCCGTTGTATCAGAGGCAGCAGCACCCCGTCGTAAAAAGGAAAAAAAAATTCCAGATCGCGCGCTTGTTAGATATTTATATCAACCAGGTGAATACGAGGGAGACACCTGTAAACGTGCTACAGATCCTATATGGTCTATGAAAACGTACAATATCAGTCGAGTGGATGTCAAAGACGGGGAACCTAACCTATACTTCTTGAAAGACGGACCACGTAGAGGTTTCGTACGTGAGGAATTACAAATCATACCACAGTGATAAAAAAATATATATACTTATACCATTATCTTTAACAAAAGTTTAA